GCCGGCCAAGACGCCGCTTGACAGCAGTGCAAAGTCCGCCTACGATGGCGAGGTCGATGTGTCACTGCCATACCGCTCTCTCGTCGGCGGACCGATGTACCTCGCATTTGGGACAAGAGCGGATATAGCCTATGCAGTAAGCTTCCTGTCAAGGTACCTGGATTGCCCAACAAGACAGTTGTGGAAACAGGGGTTGCACATCTCGATATACTTAAGCACAGTGAGAAACGCTTTGCGTACGAAGCTCCAGGAAATCCGAGCCGAAGGTGAGTCAAGGTGATTTCCTCCATCGTATCTCCTGAGAGATAAATTCGAGCCCATCAGGTAGGTTCCTCAAGACTCTCGATTTCCATTTTTCAGGCTACAAGTTGTCTATATCTTTCGACGGAGCCACATTTCTTGGAACGGACCGCTTCTTGACGCTCAACGTGCACCACAGTGAACCCATATTCGGAAATTCGAGGGTTGCTCCGCTTGGCCTTGTCAAAAGCGACCGCGGACCATCTTGAAAACTTGATAAGGGAGCGTCTCCGCTCTTTCGATCTCTCGGAACGGGATTTACTTGCAGCGGCGACTGACGGGGCTAGTGATGTTCTAAAGGCGGTCGACTTGTGTAGACTCCAAAGGCAGAAATGCTATGCCCATGGTTTAGATCTGGTAGTTAAGAAAACCATCTACGGGAAGAAAGCAAGAGCATTCGGTGTCTCGATACTCGATGGCTCCAGCTCGGAAGAGGACGAAGAGCTCGACCGGGAGAAGGACGCGAGAGAAAGGGATCGAGAAAGCGATCAGGATCTAAGCGACGAGGACGCAGAAGAAACGATGGAGGCGGAAGAGGAAGCCTCAGCCTCGGGGAGGCACTCGAGCGTCTTCGCCAAGTCGCCCGTGACTTCCGTAAGCGGCCAAATCCCATGGACGAGGTTCGAAAAATTACCTCCAAGGAAGAGTACAATGGCAGACCATTGTGGGTCAAGTCAGACTGTAGAACGAGATGGTACTCTACATTACTCATGGTCGAGCGAGCGTTCCGCATCCTCCCTGCGATCAAGAATGTTCTATCTCGTCATGGAGCTCCCCTTAATCAAGATGAGATCCGTGGCTTGAAAAAAGTCGCCTCTGCTCTCGCTCCATTCAAACGAGCCATCCTTGTTCTCTGCAATCAGGAAGCCACCCTGACGCACGCCGACAGAGTGTTCGGGCTCCTGATCAAGGGTCATGAGGAAATTGGAACTGAGCTCTCCGATATGCTATTGGAGAATCTGAAAGTCGAGATGTTGAAACGCAGAACGATTCTCTCTACTGTCTTGGCTGTCCTAGAGGACCCACGGTACGACTTCGGTTTGGGAAGGGCCACCGGACTAAGAGCTCCGTCATATGAGGGTGTTTTGGAGGTCCTGTCGGATATACTTGACGCAAAAGCACTGTTGTTTCGACCGTTTGCGAGCAGATCGGAAAATCACCGGTAAGTTCCCCTATAATACATATACAGATCCTAATAGCCACGGCTTCGCAGTGACGAATTTCGTGCACAATTTCTCTAGTGACTATTTTCCTTCTCAGATTCCCGTCACTTGGGATCGGTTTTCGCAGTCCCTCCGGCGATGATTCATCCTTCTAGCGGAACGCAGGCCTGTACCAAAGAGGCATTAAGAAGCGAGCTCGATCCTTCAGAGGAGGAAGTGTCCGCGGCAAGCTCCTTGAGCTCTCCCATCGAATTCTATCGGCGATCCCACCAACTCCTGTACAGCCTGAGAGCGGTTTTAGCGTCGTGCGTTTCCTTTTGGGAGAACAACGAGCAAGACTCTCGACGAGAACCCTAAATGATATCTTCATCCTGCGACAGGCTTATCTGCATACGGCCCTGTGATTAGACTCTATCTGGCACGTGATACCTCGTATATACACGTATAGCTCTTGGTCTCGAGCTTCCCCCATGTAAAATGACTTTGTGATGCCTCTCATAAATGAATGATTTTTAAAGGTAAGCGATGTTATCATGCGATTCCTGTCTGTAACATGATAAAGGTTTGACACTAGACTCGAGACCTGTTTCGGGGCGGGTACGATAATGGTTGCGGAGGATTGGGACCGGGGACAGAGCCAAACAAGAATCTCTATCTCGACGTTTGTGACTCGCTGGAATGAATTGATCGCGAGCGTTCCGTCGGTCCCGACGTGCTTGCTATCATTATTGCGTGGTCAGTTTCGGCCCGCATCATGGATTAGAGAGCTTAAAACCAGTGCGGTTGTTCTCGGTTTTTAAGCGCGGTTATGGATATTTGATTTGCGGTTAACCGTAACCGCGGTAATTCTGAAGTGCGCTTATTTGCAAAGCCTAATCGGTACTAAGCAAGATTTATCTTTTCAGATGGTGGAAAGGTCTCCGTCGTTTCCTCTCCGAACTCCACCTCGGTTGTTTTCCAAACGAATCCTCCGTCGCCCCGCAACTCCTCCCTCGCGAGTTCCCGGAAGCCCCCGTACGCCACACCGGTCCGCACTCCGGCCATCGAGTATCCGTCAAGGAACTCAGTGCCAGCGCCAGCGCCAGAGTTGGCTGTGAAGCCCCCGAAGTCTCAGCCGCCCTCGCCGAGCCATCCGAAGCCCGTGCCCGCCGCCACTCCTCGGCCCTCCGAAGCCGCTCGTCCGTCCGTCCATGAGGAGGAAGCAGTCGACACGCGCTCCTTCAAGCCCGTGTATCAACTGCCCTTTTTCGATTGTAGACGGCTGTACCATGTTCGCCTCTGCATGTCCCGGGAGTCTCGGGCTTGTGTTTTCGTTCCCTATACCGTGAAGAGATATACGTATCTCGTTGATACCTCGGCTAGAATGATCACACGGAATACTGGAGTCAGTCTTGGGCTCCCCCTTGGCTGGCTGAGGTTTATTGTCCTTATATATAGTGAGTCACAGGAAAGGGTTGAACACAGAAGAGCATCCGAATATGGGTCATGCTGAAAACACTGTGAACGGCTTAAGTGGTGACCGGTCAGTGACCGCTACAGACTGAGGTCTCCAGTATCTAGAGCGGAAGGTGAAATGGACAATATTCATCATTCTCCCCCATTGGCCGTGTAGCCTTTCGCAGGGGTTCGCTCTGACTTCATTCTCTTGGAATAAATCGCTGTTTCGCAAGCGATGAGACTTTCGAGTTATTTCCGACGAGTCAGCCAGACTCGAGTCAGAGACTCGTAGATTCGACGGATTTGTCGAGCGCTTGAGATAAGGGACTTTGAGGCACAGTAGGGACGCTCAGATTGCTACTATTTCCTGATATCTAGAGACGATTTGCACCTCGATGTCACTTGCTCAGAATCTGAGCTTACCATATTTTTGTCAAACTTGTCATGAGATATGTCAGTCGTTCGGCAACGACTTCGAGATCGAAAATTGGCGATAATTTCTGTCGCTTCTTACTCTCTAATTTGCCCTCTCGGGGCTTGGCTTTTAAAGGGGGGTGCTTTGCGCCGTTGGCTCATTCATCTTCCCCGATGTCTTCAGTCTTGAAACGGAAAATCTCCAAGAAGGGAATGTCGAAGTCCAGTTCGGCTCTTCAGTCTGTGAGTTCCCAAGTCAGTGCCACCGTTGGTATGATCCGCGTCGAAAATCCCAGCGCACCGCCGTGCGATGCCGAAAGCGCCTCCCGTTCGGAGGAAATTGGGACACTTTCCGCGGGTAGTGAGCGCAGTTCTGCGTCGACTTGGTCCCACTTGATGGGCCTGGTTTTGGGAACCCGACTCTGGGCGTTGCTCAAGTACCTCTTGATGGTAGTTCTCCTTCTTGCTCTGACGACGAGCGTGTTGAAAGGTAATTTTGAGGCCTCGATTTTAAGACGTTGTATATTTGGAACAACTATGCTTACATCACCGCAATGATGGGTTAGGTCCCAACAAGCCGAAAACTCGACGCCGAAACCCATGAAGCCGAAACCCAGGAAGCCCAAAGTCGTCTCCCTGGACACCCATTCAGCCGAAACCCAGGAGGCCGAAAAATCACCCGCCAGTTCAGCGGAGATCCACTCCGGCCTCAACGAAGCGGATCTCGGGGGAGATCTGCACCCCCTCAGCACAATCGGTCAAGCTATCGCAGAAGATTACGGCTGCCGTAATCAAAACTGAGCACCTCCATACATACTTCTATCCAAATAGTTTCGATCGAATGCGGTGTTTCAACGTTGAGCGACTTTCATCGACCATGTCTCTCCCCGACCAATAGATCCCGTTCACATCCCATTCTGATCTCATGCTGCGAGCGTATCTTATCACGGCGTGTCGGAGTCGAGCATAAGACGTGCATCTCGTGGCTCATTTTGTTGTTTGCCCTCGGTCCCGCGTGGTTCGGGCTTCTCACGTTCTGTGCAGGAGACTTCCTCCAGTCATGCAAGGAGTCCCGTGAGCGTTTAGTCGGTACACTTAACTTGTACTAGGTGCAATCGGTTCGCGCTGGGTCCTAGCTTTCTCCGAATGGTCCGGAGAAGCTGAGTGTTGCTACGAGAGTTCAGATGTCGCAAGAAACAGAAATTAATGTCATAGAAATCCCATCTGCAAAAGGAAAACCTATGTACATTGTGAACGACTACTTATTCGAGGTGGATAAAAAGGCGGAGGGCAAGTTCTATTGCCGGTGTATAAGAAAACGGCATGGAGGATGCCCTGCAAGGACGGTGCTCACCAAGGTGGAATCATATGGAACTTTCTTTTTCTGATTCATTTTCGGCGAGCGACTCCACCCTGCGATGATTCCATTTACCCACGAGCAATCTATTCATCCACCAGGAGTTGGGTCTCGACGTTCTCAAACAAAGCGGCGACCACTGTCATGCGCCGGAACGAAGAGAGATTATCAGCAGGATAGCTTGTTCGGACATGAAAAGTGCCGTACTAGCGGAGCCGGCGAAAAGTTTGAGGGAAGTCTACACTGGAGTGCTAACAGCCACCGTGAACACTTTACGAGTCACTCACAACGAAGAGGAAATCGGGGCAGCTGTCCCAGGCTTCGAAAGCGTACGCAGTGTACTCCAACGATCACGCGCCAAGGTCAGGCCACTGCTGCCTCGATCTCGTGAAGAGATTGACCTGGATGCTCGATGGACTCACACACTGACGGGAGCAAGGTTCCTTTTGTTTGATGATGGCAGTATCAATAGAATTTTGGGATTTAGTACGAACGAGCTCATCACCTCGTTATGTGAAGCCTCGACCGTTTTCATGGACGGAACTTTTAGAGTTGTTCCAACCATCTTCACCCAGCTCTACAGCCTCCATGGCTTCTTCAAGGGTGAAATGGTTCCCTTTGTGTACTTCTTGTTGCCGGATAAATCAAAGGAAACCTACGTCAGAATGTTCAATCTTGTGAAAAGATACGCAATGTCTATCGGGAAGAGTTTCGATCCTCCTGCATTCCAATTAGACTTTGAGATCTCCGCCCTGAAAGCGCTAGAGGAGTGCTTCCCTCGTTCAGAAAGAGAGGGTTCTTTGTTTCATTTCAATCAAAGCCTCTGGCGCAAAGTGCGGGAGTTGCGGCTGAGTGCCCACTACGGGGATTCAGAAGTGAAGCGTTTCATTCGATGTACTGCTGCGCTGGCTCTAGTGCCTCTAGATCGCGTAGAAGATGCTTGGTTGGAGATAAAAAGCGACTCGCCAACTTTCGAACACCCGGCGTACCAAAAGCCGGAAGACTTCAAAATGTACTTCATTAACACGTGGATGGAGAATGAAACTGTATTCCCACGGAAAATCTGGAATCAATATAGAAATTTCGGTGCTCGCACCACTAACCATCTGGAAGGATGGCACCAAGCGCTGAATAGAGATGTGAAAAGAAGTCATGTCAACCTATTTGAGATGATCGAGCATCTCCAGAAACAGGAAGACAAATTTCGGCTCGACATGATGAGACTCCGTATGGGGCAAGGTCCCCCAACTCTGACTAAGGTTTATCGTAGACTGAACGACAGACTGATCAGACTGACGGGAGAATTCGAGTCTGGAGCAAGGACTCTTCTTGACTACGTGAGGGGAGTAGCTCACAATCCCCCGTCGATGTAAGCTGACAATAATTAAGGAGCCGCTTGGAAATAAAGGGGTCATGAACTCTCCCGAAACGAGAGATGATTTCATTGCATCGAAGGGATTCGCAGAGCACTCGGATGAAACCCCCGCCAGATCTGGCGGGTGATTTTTCGGCCTCCTGGGTTTCGGCTGAATGGGTTCCCGGGGAGACGACTTTCGGCCTGCTGAGTTTCGGCTTCTTGGATTTCGGATTCGAGTTTTCGGCTTGATGGGTGTAGACCCAATGATGTCCCGTTTTCTTTTCTCATAATTTGCCTTGATTAACACAGGCCTTCGGGAAACGAACCAAGCCAGTTACCCCGTCATGCGGTCTCAGGACGGGGTGCTGGAACTGAGTTCCTACTCGTGCGTACAGGGAGACGGCGTACGAATTTGCCGATCCAAGGCTGCGGGGGCTTGCGCTCTACTGCGCTCAGACGAGCCAGTACCAGACGAAGCTCTGTGTACTCCTCAGGATTACCAGGTCGGCATAATGATTGGGTCTTGTGCCCAATCGAAAATATATACTTGTTTCAATAATTGAAGGACCCACAAAAAAATAAACTCATTTTTGGTTTCGGGCATCCTACAGATGCTGTCGCTATTTAGTCCCATCACAGATTCCCGCTTGTTCTCAAACCATTTCTTAAAACGAGGTTGATCAGTGGTTTCGCGGAAAAGGCTGATGTTATTGATACTCTTGTCGGCTCTTTAGAGTCTTCGAGAAGAGTTCTGGAGGGTCAACACAAACAGCTCATGTTCGTGAGAGCGTGGTCGCGGCGGCGCCTATTCCGCGCGAGTAGATCGATTTAGATTCAGTCAGTACACATTCAAATCTCGACCGACAATGGTGTTCCCAGTGAAGCGCTGTTCTAGCTCGTCCAACACGGTTGGATTTCTGGTGGTAGCTATGTTGGTTCTAGGAGTCCTGATGAGTGAGTTATTTTCTGGGATTCACGAAAAGTTACTGAGCATCAGTGTGGCTCACGTAAGGGGTTACAGAAAATTTCCATTCTTTCTCAGCTATTCACTCGGGTTATTTCGAGCCGAGTCAGCTTCACTCAGCGAAC